GGGAGATGAGGGAGGAAGAGGGGATGGAGAGAGGAAGGGCGATGGCGGGGTGGGGGGAGGTGGAGAGAAGAAGTGAAAAGAGGGAGGGAGAGGAGGAAGAGAGGAGGAGGAAGAGGAGGGAGGGGAGACAGGGCGATGAAGGGAAGGAGGACAGAGGGAAAATGCGGTGTGGGATAGGACCACAGTCTCGTTCTATGGATGTCAGCCTCCAATTCTGAGGTGTGGGACCGTGCCTGGTGGTACAGGACAACTCACACAGCAAGAAGGACACATTTGCCTGTGGATCTAATCACGGGATTTTTCTACCATTCAAGAGATGGGGAAAAACCCAAACAAAACCAACTCTTGCATTTAACTACTACTGAGAGCTTCAGAGTTGAAAGAGAGAAGCAGGGATGGGATATCAATGACTTACAAAAGAAAATGATGGAGAAAAGTGTTAGGTACTCTAACAATGCCCTCTGATTCTTCTACTCTGACTGCTTCACACAAGCTGTCCACTGTGAGTCCCAAGACCACCAGCTCAAGACAGCCTTTCTGGTTTTGAAACCGGTGTCATTAATCAGCTGGGTCACTTTCAGAATCTTTCTGTGCTTTAATTCCTCAACTGTAAAGCAGGAGGGCTGGGGATGTAGCCCATGCAAGGGTACTTGCCTAGTGAGTAGGAGGCCCTGGGCTCAATCCCTAGCACCATGGGGGTTGGGGGTGACCCATAAGAAATTCTCTGGACTTGCCGTTGTTGAAACAGGCAAAGAAGGTAAACTTGAAATGTGTGACTAATACACATGAGGAAACACACACTACTGTGGTATGTTGAAAATTATGTTTGAACTCCTTCGAATACTTTTATGTCCATCCTGGAGAAGAAAAGCTAGGTCCAGAGATACTATGTCATGTACCCAAGACTGCTGGCTAACCAATGCCAGAGTCACATTCTGAACTAAGACATCAGGAGTCTACACTCTGTGACCTTCACTATGCAGACCTCGCCTCCACAACACAAAGAAACTGACCTATCTTATGGTATGCACAAAAATTAACTCCAATGGATGGTGGAGTTAAGCAAGAAAAGTAAAAGAGGGCCAGGGATTTAGCTCAGCAGTTCGGTGGCCTGCCTTGCAAGTGCAAGGACCCAAGTTCAATCCCCTATACCAAAAAAAAAAAGAAAAAGGAACAGGGATTCTGAAGACACACACGATTACCTTTTTTTGACCATAAAGTACCAAAAGATTTCTTAAACAGAACACAAAACACAAATCAGAAAGGAAATGACTAATACATTTGAACACATTTATCTTCAAAACTTCTATGAGACAAAATCATTTGTATAAAAGTAAGGAGTCAGAGACATTTGCTACACATGTAACTAAAAAACAGCTCATAACCAGAAAAGAAGCAAACAAACCAATCAATCATAGGAACCAATAAGAAAAAGACTTCCCAAGAGAGGAGATTCAAATGGCCAAAACTCATGTGAAAGGTTCAGCCTGATTACCAGGGAGATGTGAAACAAGCAAGACACACCAGTCAGCAATGAGTGCCAGTGCACCAAGGAACTGACACAGACTTGGGCCGCCACAGGCGGGTGCAGCCACAGACTGGGAGAGCTCTCCGCAGACTGGTAGGAGCAGACAACCAAGTGGAGAACTACCTTCCTCCTACAGTTGAAGAGAAAGACACACACTCCAAGACCCAGTGCTTCCAGTGGATGGCATGTGCCCCTTCGAGGTATGGGCGCACAGAGATCAGACGGCACAGAAAGTCCAGAGCACTCAGAACAGTACCAAAGTGGAAACAGTCCAGCTGTTACAGAAGGAGATGGCAAGTGACACACAGAGAGGCAGCAGAATGGAAGTAAAATAAAAAGTTTACTCCATCGATGGGGATCGATCACACCTAATGGCGTGTGCCCTGATCGACTCCTCCACTGGACTACAACTCTTACTTTTATAGGGTTTTACAGCTTTGATCTTATTCAGTTGGTTAAACTGCATTTTCACAGATACCCAAAATGTGATAGCAAGGCAGCTGAATTCCAACCCGGATGCAGTTCTTTGCTAGGGAAGTTACCTTTTAGATTCATTCAATTACCTACTCTAGCCAGGGGAAAGGGAGCTTGTTTGATTAACAAAGCTAAAATGGTTCTTTTCACTTACAAACTTTTGTGGGGAGGCTAGGTATCTCTGGTACTGGTTGATTCTGAACTAAGCTGGGTGAGGGGCAGAAGTTATCTTATATTGTGACATTTCCTAAATTTTCATTTATTAAAGTTTTCTCTATCACAGCTGCCCATCAATTAGTGGCTAAACTCCGACATGTTCAGACCACAGACTGCAGTACAGTAAGAAACGGACAAACTACAGACATCTGTACAGTGCAGTCTCACAGACCTAGCAGTGAGTGAACCAGGCCAGGCAAAAGTGAGTACACCTTGCCTGGCTCCATGAACTAAGGGGCTGGAAGTTGGGACTCCTGAGGGTAGAAACAGAAAGGACCTAGGAAAAAGTCATGTTCATTTACTGACCTGGATACCTTTATCTTGTATTGTTAACTGAGATGCCTACTTATGACCTCAGTTCTTCCTCTGTGTGTATTATAAAGTTGTATCTAAGTCATACTTTGTCAAAAAAAAAAGCATTTTCTCGAGTACCTAGTTGTTTCTTAAAATATAACAATATGTGCATACCATCAGTTTTGTATTACGTAAGACTTGTTTAAATTTCTCTCTCTCTCTCTCTCTCAAACACACACACACACACACACACACACACACACACACACACGCCCCTGGCCTACTCTGAAAGGAGCCTCACTACAGACCTGAGCTACCCCAAAGATATCTGAAGATCAGCTCACCTAATATGCATATATTAATAGAACTAGTATTGCTTATAATATATAATATAAATATACAAAGGTGACTTTCAAAGCTGTGTTTACTGGTCACTGAATTTTTTAAATCTCCCCAATCTTCTCCAATCAGAATGAAAATAAAGAAAAAAGGGTACCACACCAAAAACAATACAATAAAAAGCAAGCCCACACAGTACTTTGTCAACAAGAACCAGATTACAAGCATTTTTTCAAGTGCTAGAAGATGTTTAAGTCATCAACAGCAGCAGGATCTACAAACGCTCCCAAGCTGTATTGTAAGAGCAACAGGAAGTGATAGGGAACAACCTACTGCCCTGTAAGCAACCCCAAAGCCAAAAATTATAAACAGTAATCTTCAAAAGGACCTGAATTGATGAATCTACAAATGACCTACAAAACTTGGAAATTCTTTACAGGTTCCAAGCAAAGACAAGCATGGAAAACTACATGCAAATGTGAGCTTGAACAAATCTAACCAGCAAGGGCCTCAAATTTCTCCAATAATCTTCTTCTAGAAGCAAAAAACCTCACACTATGGGGGAAAAAAAAAGCCAAGAGAACCCTGGAAAATGAAAACGAATCTGAATAGGGAACAAAGACTGGGAGAGGTGGTTCAGATAAGGGAAGAACAATGCTCAGAGGCAGCAACACAAAGAAAATCAAAACAACTGCCACAACAGCGATACATATGTTTAAGCTGAAAGCAGCACCTTGCAATTCATGATCTTCAGACTCTATAAGGTAGAATGGAACCAGAAAATCCAATTCAGACTTAGTTTTGACAAAGACTTAATATAAAAAGAGGTCAATAAACTCAATGAGGAAAATAAAAAAAAAATAAAAAATAAAAAGGTCAAAATTGAGCTCTCGAGTTCATAGGAAAGTAAAGCTAGGAAAGCAACCCTGTCTTATCTCCAATTCCCCTCATTCCATGAGCCCTTCCTCCCAGGAGCCCAGGAAAACTGCCTCATTCAAACACAGAAAACAAAACAGACTATGAATAAAAAATTATTATGGAGGAAAAAAAAGAAAAGTATAAGATATAAAAAAGGGTCAAAGGCCGGGTGTGGTGGTGCACGCCTGTGATCCCAGCACTTGGGAGGCTGAGGCAGGAGGATGCTGTGATTTCGAGATCAGCCTGGGCTACATAGTGAGTTCCAGGTCAGTCTCAACTACATAGCGAGACCCTTCCTCAAACCTCCCCCCCCGCAAAAAGGGTCAAAAATTAGAAAGAAAATGAGTAAAAGATAGGAAAAGGAAATCCAACAGTTACAATTGAAGCCCTGAAATAGAAAACTTAAGCAAATGGGAAAAAAATATAATTGTAATTATAAAAGCATCTTTTCAGACAGAGGACTGAATTCACATACTAAACAAATACACTTGGTAAAATAAGCCTAACAAAATGTATCGTAACAATACTGGATCTTAAGACAAAGAAAAAAGCCCCTTTGGGTAACTACACAAAAGTCTAAATCACTTATGACAGAAAGGTTAGGATGGCATTAGGCTTCTAGACAGCAACACTGTATCGTAGAAAATAATGGTACAATATTTTTAAGATATAGAAGTGAAGCATGTAAATAAATATAAGCCAAAGAAGAGATACAGAACCAAACCATCCTTTAAATATAAACACGCAGAAGTTTCTCTCATGAGAAAATTTTCCATGAAAAATTACTTCCTGAAAAATCTAGAGATGAGCATCAGAAAACTCAGAAATGAATGGAGAAGTTTTAGTGTGAAGCCCAGAGCACAGGCAGACTGCACAAGCTCTGCCACACTGCCCAGTGAGCTCGCCTCAGGCTCCTCTTCCTCCTTTCTCTCAAGACACCTCACACTGATCACATGCTCACAGGCTACTTGCTTCTGAAACACACCACGCAATTTTTACCTTTCTGGATATTTGTCAAACTGAGAACGACTGGGATTTCTAGATGATAAGGCAAACTTCAAGGTCACAATTGAGAAGTCCTAAAACTGCAAATTAATTTTATACAATTAACACATCTGTAACGAAAGACACTGGTTCTATAGTTTATACAGGTCAAGTTCATTAAGAAATACATTGACCCACACAGTCACACCTCGCCCCAGCAGACCTGGTAAGCTCTGTTGATCTGATTAGCTGCCCAACTTGCATACTTCATGTTATCCTTCTTCATTTTGGCACTTGCTTTTGGATTAGATGCAATATGACTTGCAGACTAAAATCAGAAAAGAGGAAAAAAAAAATTCTTTTTTTTTCTAGTTAAGGTAATACAAAACTCATGGGGTCACAGATTCATTTAGTTGATAACAAAGAGTTTAACAAACTGTACCAAAACAATTTTTAAAGTTGAATGGAATTAGTGTGTAAAAATGAAAACATTTAAAAATATAATATATAACATAAACTAATAAGACCAGAAAGAGTACTTAAAATAATATTTAAAATTATTTAATAGTGGGCCAGGGACTTAACTCAGTGGTGCTGCCACCTGCCTTGCAAGTGCAAGGACCCAAGTTTGATCCCTGGTACCAAAAAAAAAAAAATTATTTAATAGTGTATCTATCTCTTAAAGGTCAAATCCCTAACTCTTCAATAAAGAAGCCATGGAAACATACTTTATAACCACATAACACTGCACAATCAGAATGTTACTAGTGTTATTTCTTGTTACTGAGTTATATTAGCTACTCAGAATCACTAATAGAAGGAATCTAAAAAACAGTTGTGTCTGACTTCATATACTAACAAGTGGAAAAAAAAAAATTCAGTCCAATAGGAGTGGTTAGATTTGACCAAAGCAAGTTAGTGGAAGTCTTTCCAACGAACTCCTTAATTCTTATCTCTAATTCATTTCTCTCATCACTGTGCTCCACAGAACTGCTTAGTCACCACAATCTGATACCTTCTCCTTTCTAAAAAAGTATTTCAGTGAGGGATCTTTAATCTAGAATCCATGAAATCTATAAACCCCCAAAATCAGATGCTACTTTTTAAATATATTTTTATATTTCTAGGAAGAATATGGTATAACTTGAGTCTTAACTTTAAAAGAAGCTGTTCCCAAAAAAGTCAAACCTTTGTTCTATGCCTAGTCTCTGCTATAGACTCTGACCTGTCTCTTCTCTCTCTGCCAGTGAGGTATCCACCTGCTAATATCAACATTTTACACTTCTGGGTCTTTAACATCACCTTTTGATATGAGTTTCAGTAAATGCAGCGAGTAAAAGAAAGACTGCAGTGTAGAAACCTAAACTGGAATCTCAAGTCCACCACTTGGGAGCCAAGTCCAGGGTGCATGGCCACACCTGTGTCTCAGTTCTGCATTTGCAGCAACAGCAGCAGTAAGAGCACCTACTCAGATGATGTGAAGACTGAACAACTTAAAACAAAAAATGGAACTCAGCAAAACGCTTGGCATAGAAGTTGCTACATACAGATGATTATTAATAACAATTTACCATCATAAATTTCAAAAAGACATTGAATTTATTTGGTAGAGACATATTTGTAACTACACTATATCTCCACCGCAAATGGTTTCTGTATAGTCCAGACATATTTTCTTGAAATTCCTCTGAACCATATTCTAAGCATATTTTGTTACTCTTTTCTAAGAATTACATCATTCATCTTTCTTCCCATTCTCAGTCACTTTTCACTGAACTCCAACAAGAAGATACTTACCAAAAAGAACCTGTGGAAAGACTACGATTAAATTCCAAAGAACTGGCTGACCTCTTAAACCTCTCTGACCACAGAGGTCTTCCTGGGACAAGGCTTAGCTGAAGCACTGCAACTTCTGCTCCCTCAGCTCTTGCTGCTGCACAGCTCTAGACGTTTCACTTGGCACAAATACTACATATTGCCAGGAACTGTTTTCAAACTGTTTTGTTTTTTTGTGTTTGGTTTATTTTTGGCAGTATCAGGAATCGAACTCAGGACATTGTACTTGTGAGGCAGCCCCAAACTGTTTTTCTATTCAAAGAAATGTTTTAATTAGACATACTAGGCATTTTATTTTCTAATGTATTTTACTGGAATAGTTTTAAAATATCTCATACAAGTATAACCAGGTTATAACTAAAATAAAGTCGGGCATAGTATCAAGAATATCAAAACAATTTTAAAAACGTTAGTGTATTTATTATTCCTTCATTTCATATAGGGAGATTTCAATTCTGATTTGATAAAAGACTTCACAATTGAATAATGTCTAAGCTAGGATATATTAACATTCAAAAATAAAACTTCCTTCTCAACCACGCTCATAATTAATTAAAATCATATGCTCATCAATGAATTTAAAAAATAAAAAAGGGATGACTGGAAAGGACAGACAGGTAAATGGGTTTTACAAGACAGACTGTGAAGCAACCCTAAGCGCACACCTCAACTCACCATGTGAAGCCCGAACAAAGCTCTCATATTTCTGTTGTTCAGTTTCAATGCCTGTGCAAAATACTTTCTTGAGAGTTCGAGGTTTTCAAGTCCACCTTGGGTATATTTAACCTGTTAAAATTTGCAGAGTACGAAACCTGTTTATTTTATTACTCTAAAATATAGCATGTTTCATCATACCACAGGCATTAAGTGAGTGAAACAGATATTCTATAAATACATGCAAGATGTTAAAAGAGTTCACTTTAAGGTTGTTAACCCTACCTAAAAACTGACATACAACCTCCCCCACAATCTCTATTCTAAGACTATTAAGATGATAGAGTAGTTTTTCAAACAAAAATGCTGCTACAATAAAAAAGTATAATTTCTAATTAAACTGCCTTTCAAATGCTTTACGAAGTTATATTTTCTGTTAGTAGGCTTATAAATCTAGACTTCTCTGAATTTTTCTTTTACAGCTGTACTTTAAAAATGACAGTAATAATTGTCCTTTTATATTCTAAAAATAAAGTCCTCATCTTAATAGCATTAAATTGTACTGATATTCTTTTTTTTTTTTTTCTTGTGGTACTGGGGATCAAATTAGGGTCCTTGTGCTTGCAAGGCAGGCCACTGAACAGCTGAGCTAAATCCCTGGCTTGATATTCTTAATAGTAAGAAAATTAAATACGTTCTTCCTACATGCCAACGTAGTAACTTTAATATGAATTTCCTATAATCTGGATTTAAAATATCAAAATCACTGTGTTTCAGAAGCAACTGATAATGACAGTGGTATAATTAACTTACAGTTAGGAAAGAAAAGAACACTTCGGTACTATATAAAACTATAAAGTATTTCACTGTTTAAACAGTTTTTAATTGAAAAGTCAGTATTTCTATTGCAATATAAAAACTTCAAACATTTATTCCCAACAAGTCAACATTCATCACATATTTTAAGTATTTACATATATATGCCTAACATGAAAATATTCTTAGTGCCATAATGCCCAACAGCAGCAAAACTCCAATCTCACATGCATGCCACATGTGAACACACACTCACCTCCGCGTACTGCTGGCAATACAGGTGGTTGTGGGGATTGGTCATCATGAGCTCCTCCAGACAGAAGGCTGCTTTTGCGTAGCTGAAACATACAGAGCAGTAATTAATTTTAAAAATCATAAGTCTTATCTCAGATATGCCTTAAATAATTTAAAAACAATTTAGTGATATTATTTTATTCCCAAAACAATTTAAACAGCTTAATATAAAGATCCTATCCTGAATCCATACAAACCAGTAATATCAAGTTTAATGGGGAAAAAAAAGTTTAATGGAATGAATAAACAGCTATGTCTAAATCTTACAGCAGTCTATGAGCAATCAATCAATAGATATTACATTTTGAAACTTTAAATAAATAGCTCTGTACATCCTGATTATTTAATGAAATGTTCAGAAAAGAAACGTTTTATCAAATATTTTCTAGTCACTAAAACCCTTCATAGACATCTACTAAGATAGCCTATTACAAAGACTTCTTATTACTTTTCAAGTATCAGAAAATGAAATTATCTGTTTAACAGCTGCAGTTAATTTTGATTCGTCCTTCACCACTGAACTACGTACAGCCCTGCTGAAACCCTGTAAGCAGAAGGGCTCTGGAGAGACGGCTTCAGAGCAGCAACCCCACCCTGCCTGAATGATGCCCACGACGCTGTGGGCCCTCCCGTCCATGCACAGCCTGCAGACACAGGCGCAAGCGCTCACTGTGAGCCACCTGAAAGGTCACCTCGAGTTCCTCTGAGCATCTGTCCCTACGTCACAGCGACGCCCGAGGCACTGGCCTTTGCAGTGTACACACGCCAGTCTCACCCACGTGCAATGCTTCACAACAGCTTTTACCACGTTCTCATTTTATGTCTCATTCTGTCACACATACTCTTTAAAGTGTATCTAGTGTGTTAACTCATTTTACCCCACAAAACTCTAAAAAGTAGAAAATTACCACCATTATTCTACAGCAGAGAATCCTGAGGCAGAGCCATAACTGAATGTCGGGCTGGACCTTCCAGAGTCTGCATCCTTCAACCACTACATGTGCTGCCTGGATCCAGCCCACCACAGTGAAGAGCCGTTGGGCTCTGCATGAGGTTGTTGATGGCAACAGAAAAAATGGGTGCAGAAGCCACCCCACACCAATGGGCCTGAGGCACCAAGGACCCTGCAACCCACCACAGCCACAGCACCTCATTCCATACAGGCTGCACACTTGCACCCAAGGTCACATGGCTGTGTCCTGCTCATTTTATCATCCACAACTCAGCACTGGTTCTTCAAATACGACAGGGATTCACTAAGTGACTGGGCCCATAACTGAAGAAACATCAACCTACCTAACACCTGTCACTCTAAAGAAAAGAGAAAGCTGTCTCTACCATAGATACTGAACTTTATTACATGACAGTTTCTTGTAAATGTGTTCTTTTAACTATGATGAGGCCAAAATTTTATATTCAGGCTAAGAATAAATATTCTAAGAGAGTTAAAGAAAGAGGTTGAGAACTGACTGGTTCTGGCAGATCATAAAGCAAGATAAAATGGGCACGGAGGACTCTGGTTAACTTAGGGAGGTAGAATTATGAATAACTTATGACTTGGTCTTTATAGTCTACAAGGCTTTTCAAATTTTCTGCTTCAGGTATTCTTTAACTTTAAATATCTTTTTTTTTTTGGTACCAGGGGTCAAACTTGGAACCTTGTGCTTGCATTGCACGCTGTGGAACCACTGAGCTAAATCCCCGGCTGGTATTCTTTAACTTTAAAGAAGTATCCTTGATTATTTTAAATGTTTTAAAAGACTTTTAGTTACAAAATCTTCAAAAATAAATTTTAAATAACTGTCACTTTAAGGAACAAAATAAAAGTAATGTTGATTTTATTTATTGCACTCTGAAAACTGCTTCATGTTAAATACCATAAACTGTCTCACATGCATAAGAAAATTATGAGTATGTTTACACTTATGTACATATAAGCAGGCACACATTTGCACAAACACAGCACACTGCTTCCTGACCAGAGACTCTGACAGGCAGGGTACGGCAGAGTATTAGAATGCTTCCTAGAATATAGCACACATTTCATTATATGATGGCTAGTACTTTTATTTTACTTCCACTTTTATTAAAATTATGGAAACACCTCAATCTTTTTTACTTTATATTATGTATAACACACACACAAATACACAGTCTTGGTCAAAGTCAACACAAAAATATCTTTATCCTATTTTACTTCCTAAGCCAGCTGTTTGTAGTATGAGAACAAGGTTAACTATTTATTCATGCATAAAAACGCGTGAGAATCTGATTCTACTCTCTCAAAAAGAGGGAAAGAAACAATGTGATAGACTTCAGATTTAGAAAAACTAAGGGAGAAAAGAAAACACTACGCCTCTGGGTGGAGGTTAGCGCTAATGCTGTGATATTAGAAAATTTGCCCTAAGACTCTGCACTAATCCTCTCACACTGGGATTTCCTCCTGTCACTACAGCAATAAAAAAAAAGCCAACAAAAACATTAAATATCCAATAAGCAAGTTCCTACAGCATTCAACATTCTTGATTATTCTTGGTTTTTAACCCAGGCAACAGAATGCTTTTACTCTGGAAGAGCTGATTCTCTTAGCACTAAGGCTAATAAATGCATACAATTGACAGAATTTTTAAACAGCAGGGAGTACAATACTCTTTGTATATAAGAACAATTTGAACTCTAAACATTCACTATTTTGGATTATCAAAAATAACCTTAGCTTGAAAAATACAGGTCTTCCAAATTCTAAAGAATGCCACCTGTATTTGAAAGAAAAACTTATTTCCCAAAGAAAAATAATTCAGCAAAATCCAAATGACCTAGTTAAAGCTACTCACAAATTTCTACCAGGAAATTAGTGATTTTTTTTTTTCATTTGCTGCTTTGTTGTGTTTCTCATTTAAAATGACAGGTGATTCGCACCTTTTTGACACTTCAAAACTATTCTGTCTTCTCAGAGCAAGAAACTACATTCTGAACAGTTTTCTGTATGTTTAACAACTTACTCATGTTCATTGATATAAAGTTCTGCAAGCTCATGCCAGGCTTCTTGGTCGCCAACAAATCTGGTGGGAAGAAAGGAGAACAAAGTAAGTGTATGGGTATTCTTTAAGTGAACAGCATGGAGACAAACAGGAAAATTAAATACAAATTCCATTTTAATTAAAAAGATTTATTAGAATAACAAAACACAATCGCCTTGTAAAACACTCACTGCTCCAGATACTCATTCAGCTCCCGAATGGCCTCCACATTTTTCCCCTGGGCTTTGCGAATGGCAATCTTACGCTTTCTTGCAGCCTATGGGTTAACATTAATAAAGGATTAGCCCGTGTGATTCCCTGGGTTTTGTAAGGAAGGTAATCTGACTGTGCAAATTATTATCTCAATGCCAGTGAAATCCCATTGTAGAATGACTGCTTAGTGAGAGTTTATAAACACACTCCACGACATCCCACTGGGGAGTTCAAACACTCCCAGCCATCCCACACGCTTCACTTCTGATGCATAGAATACACGCTTCGTTTCATCCAAACAAATAAGTACCCAGATTCTGATGATTACAAGCCAGCAGGAAACCCTAATCTTTATCCACATAAAGTCCTTTCTGCCGCCTGATTCACAAGATCTGTATCTTGAGAGGCCGAGGAATAGTAAAGCACAGAAAAAAGAATCTCACCAAGGATACTTGGATGAAATCATACAAAGGCAGTGTCTGCAAACTTTGTCATATTTTAATAGTAAGATCTACCTACGTCTTTCAAAAGAATAAAAAAGGCCTTGAAATATTTTATAATAAATTCTTAAAACTTGCATTTTAAAGTCTAAAATATGGTTGACATAAATATCCATGCCATCATTTGCATATTCAAATGCATATTGGACATCTATCATTTGTTAGTCACTGTGCTAGACAATGAAAATGCAAAGGTAACAAAAGAAGTGACTTCTTATAAGAGCTCAGTCTCAAAAGAGATATGGTAAGTAAAATATGTGAGGTGATAAAGCTGTCCAGGCTGAGGACACCAAGCACAGGTTAATGGCTACCACAGAGCAAGAAGAGGACAGGCAGGGAGCAGAGGGTCCCTGATGCCATGGCCACTCTAAGATAGAGACACCGCCAAGAGCAGGATGCAGAGCAGGAGACCAGGGTGGATGTCTTGCCCCAGAAGCAACACAAGAGCAGGGCTTGGAAGGTGCATGGGAGCCCTGTGCATCCTGATAAACTCGCACCCTCATGACGTGCCTAACTCAGATACAGAAGGATGGAGAATAAAATAAATACACCACAACAAGGGCCACATTAATGTATGAATTGTAAACAGCTCTGTGTTACTTTCATGTCATGTAGAAAGGAGAAACAACAGATAGTGTCTTTAGAGGAACAGGAGCCACACACATCTGGGTGGTGGCTCAGAGGTAAGGCTCTGAAAAAGTAAAATACTACAATCAGAGCAACCAAGAGACTAACAAACAAGGCCAGTGTTCACAACACTGGCAATATTTTGGTAATAAAAAAATGACATATCTTAAGAATGTATGTCTTTTGGCTAATGCCAAAGGCCTAAGACAAATCCTGCCACGTAGGCTCATGCAAATATTTTTGGGATAATTTTATTATGTAAAAGAATGAAAGCACCACAATAAATGTAAAGTTCAGAAAGTTTCAAGAATCCATAAGCTAAGCAAAAGTGAAAGCTCTGAAAGTAATTCAAAGCTTAAAGACATCAGAAAAATGTAAGACTTAAAATGAGAACCATAGCTGGAAGAGGTGATACACATCTGTGATCTTAGCACTCTGGAAGACTGATGCAGGAGAATCACAAGTTCAAGCCCAGATTGGGCAACCTAGTGATTTAGTGAGAACCTGTCTCAAAATTAAAAAAAAAAAAAAAAAAAAAAAAAAAAAAAAAGGCTGGGGCTGGAAAGGCCTCAAGTTTAAGCCTCAGCACATACCCCCCCCCAATTCTCAAGTCCTCCTGAAAAATAGGGATAAATTATAAACAAACTGATTTCTTTTGCAGGGTATAATAGCTGTTCTCACTAATCCTAAATAATTTGAAACATAATTTATTCCTCTTATTTTTCAGGACACCATGTCTTCCACAGGCAGTATGGTAGAACAAAAGGCGTTAGGCTTTGAAATAAAAAAAGACAGAAAACTGCTAGATATGGTGGTGCAGACCTAAGGATGGTGGTGTAAGGCCTGAATAGCTTAGAGCTCCCATCTCAGAATGAGAAGCGGTGTAAAGGGCTGGAGAGGCAGCTCAGGATGAGCGTTTGCTACCCTGTGTGAGCCCGGGGTTCAGTCTTTAGCACAGAGAAGACAAGGAACCGAATCCCTGGCCTTGCCACCCACCAGCTTTCTAAGGGCCTCACACCTCAGCCTCACACCCACCTCCAGGGTCAGCATAAAGCCACCCAGCAAGCACCAAGCACATGGGAGTGAAGCAAAGGTTACCAGATTTTCTTCTAACATTTAGTATATGCTTATTGTTTATGTACTATGCCTCACCACAAAACATTAGCCATGAGACCTATAAAGGGACAGCAGACTCAATTGTGCATCATTATTCCTATTTTTGCCCCAATCCTCATAGGATTTGCAGTGTCTGGTATATGACACTGCACAAAAGCAGGGAAAACCTGCTGAAAACACTGCATTCAAGTGCCACAAATAAAAAAGCCAGAGCACAAATATAAACAGCCACTAACACAGCCATAGCAATGAGCACAGCTGGGAGCCATGGGTCCCGTGTGATATGTAGGAAGGAGCACAGAGCCCTGCTTCCCAATGCCCGCCACAGGCCTGCACCAGCTTGCAGAATTCTCAGCTGACTGCAGCAGAGCCTGCTGCAGAAAACTGCTCTCAAGTGCTGCAAAGATAGCTAATCTTTAAGCAAACGCTGGACAATAATGGTGTAAATAACTACGATGCACTGAGAGCGGCAGAAGCAGGATCTGGAATTTCAAATTCCTATCCTAGATTCTCCTGTTCATCTTGAAAGAAAGACTCTGAAATACCACCAATTAAATGGTTTATTACTATTATGTCAATTGATGTGTATTTATGGTGAGTATAGTATCTTAATTTTATAAGAAAAAGGTAAAAACAGAAATTTAATATTTACTTTGTAACAGCCAACTCTGCAAACTAAGAGTTTTTCTACCGACTTTAGTGAGATATAAAAAAGAGCATGCCATCACAACTTCACTATATGAGCATTATATTGCTTGATCACATAATACCTATGATATAGCAGTTTATCTCTGAATATTCTAACGTTTAAAATTAACTTTTTATTGGTACCTATTTAGCTATGCCATCTTCCTAATGAAAACATATATGGCACCTTAAAGAAAAACCAAAAGGTAATCACTACCATATGGTCAAAGACATATTTTTCTAAGTCATAAACTTTTTTACTAAATGACAACCCTTCCCAGGCATTTCTTTAAAAAAGGAAAACACATTCTGGCATAAGAACCAATTCTTTATCAGACCCAGTTGACTGACTGATTTGGCAGCAATGAGATTGAACTCAGGGCCTACATGCAGAGCTATGCCTCCAGGCTTTCTCCTTTTCCTTTTGCCCCCACCCCCACCCCTTCTCCTTTCTTTTTTCTTTCTCCCTCTCTTTCCTCAGCCTCTTAAGAGTGCTGGGATCACAGGTGTGTGCCACTACATTCAGCTTCATGTTTGTTTTAAATCAGCATTAAGCAGGGACTTCTATCTGGACAAAATGGGAATGCCAGAGCTCTTTTGCAATGTGTTTTTTGCAAGAGCACAGGTGTCATGAAATCAAAGCCAACATGGGAAAGGAAAAGACTCCATCAATATCATCATCATCGGCCACGTGGATTTAGACAAGTCCACCACTACTGGACATATGATGTGTAAATGTGGTGGCGTCGACCAAAGGACCACTGAGTAATATAAGGAGGCTGCTGAGACAGGGAAGAGTTCCTTCAAGCAGGCCTGGGTCTTGGATAAACTGAAAGTCGGGTGTGAGCATGGAGTCACTATCAACATTGCCCTGGGGAAATCTGAGACCAGCAGGTAGCATGTGACTCTCATCGACACCCAAAACAGAGACTTCGTCACAAACATGGCTAAAGGCACGTCTCAGGTTGACTGTGCCACCCCAACTGTCACTGCTGGTGTGGGTGAATTTGAAGCTGGGATCTCCAAAAATGGACCCATGAGCATGCCCTTCTAGTTCACATGCTGGTGTGAAACAACTCATTGTTGGTGTCAACAAAATACACTCCACTGAGCTGCCCAACAGCAGAAGAGACATGAGGAAGTCTACGGAAGTCAGCAGCTACATTAAGAAAATCGGCTACAACCGCGCCAGGTATCTTTTGGGCTAATCTCTGGTTGGAATGGTGACAGCATGCTGAGCCAAGTACTCACATGCCTGGTTCAAGGGATGGAAGGCTGTTCACAGAGATGGCGATGCTGGTGGGACCACACTGTCTGAAGCTCAGGACTGCATCCTACCACCCACTCGCCCAGCCAACAGGCCTCTGCAGCTGCCCCTCCAGGATGTCTACAACACGGGTGGTGTCAGTACTGTCCCTGCAGGCTCAGTGGAGACCGGTGCTCTCAAACGTGGCATGGCAGTCACCTCTGCTCCACACCATGTCACAGCTAAATAATGTCTGTTGAATGCACCATGAAGCTTCGAGTAAAACTCTCCCTGGTAACAGTGTGGGCTTCAACATCAAGAATACATCTGCCCAAGATGTTCATCATGGCAACACTGCTGGTGAGAGAAAAATGACCCAGCCTTGGAAGAAGCTGGTTTCCCTGTGTGGGGGAATATCCTGAGCCATGCGGGCCAGGTCAGTACTGGCTATGCCCATACTGGATTGTCATACAGCTCATACCACTTGCAAGTCTGCTGAGCTGAGAGAAAAGACTGATCACCAGTCTGGCCAGAAGCTGGAAAAGGGCCCCAAATTCTTGAAATCTGGAGATGATGCCATTGTTCACATGGTTCCAGGCCAGCCCATGTATTTTGAGAGCTTCTCTAACTCTCCTCTCTGGGTCACTTTGCTGCTCATGATATGAGACAGAGTTATGCGGCGTCATCAAAGCAGTGGACAAAAAGGCTGGGGGAGCTGGCCAGGTCACAACGTCTGCCCAGAAATCTCACAAAGCTATCCATTTTAAAAAAAAAAAAAAAAGAAAAGAAATATTATCCATTACCCCTGCCACTCCCAGGCTTAATCGGAGGCAGAAGAGGGTCTCAGAACTGTTTCTCCAATTGGCCATTTACGTTTAATAGTGAAAG